GGGTGGGTGGGGAGGATTGGGGATGAGGCTCAGAGAAAGGGAATAGAAGTGGAACTTGAGAAGCAAAGACTGTTGCTTGGTGATGGGATGGCTTGGAGGATTTGATTTACCTGATTGGGATCATTGAGGTGGGGAGAGGAGACTGAGGAACTGACAGGTGGTCAGAGCAAGGGGGGGATTTTTAAAGAAGCATTTTAGACCTCTACCTGCCAATTACTAGAGACGAGAGGTATTTGGATACCATTGTTGGTGAGGTGGGGTGGTTATGGAAATGATCTCCAAGGCCCCTTCCAGCTTTAAGTTTCTGTGATTACACTTGGCTCTGGTTCAAGGAGATGTATTTGAAAGCACCTTGAAAAAGGTAAATACTGTATTGAAGTTATTATATGTGGTTTTTAGTAATGGGCTCTCCTTTGAGGGAGCCTAATTTCAGTTACATGTGTCAGGGTTCATTGAGATAAAGAGCAAAAGTTTTGGCAGAGGAGAAAAGAACTTTAAGTTTTGATGTAAGACGTTTTTGACTTTTCTTTCTTAGCTTTTCTTCCCTGATTGTTTTAAGAACTTAAGAGCTTCTAGTAGCATAATATATTTCCAGAGTGTCATGCTTAGAGGTCAACTTTATATGTAATCACTAGCGTTCATCCCAGAAACTTCTGTTACTTGTTTCATTTACTGAGAAAGAATATAATCCGTTGTCTGGAAATTCTGTGTAGATTGGTTCTGTCCTTTTCTGTGTGTGTTTAAGAAAGTAACTCTGAGAAGCTGGAAGTCTGGCAGACCTTAGTTCCTGTGCGAGTTTCTACTGATGCCTCTCCAGCTGTTTCTTAGAAGCCTTAAGTGAAAGGGAAGGTGAAATCTATCCTTTAATTTGTAATTATGAGGGTATAACTGTGTGTTATGCACTGGGAATTCAAAGATGAGTAAGACAGGATCTTTACCAATTTATAGTGTAGTGAAGAGACATGCAAATGGCCCATTACAATACTAGATAATTGCTATAATGGAAGTGTGTGACAAATTCAGTGGGACACAGGAGACAAGCACTTGAGTCTGCTAGGGGGAGTTGGTGAAGTCTTTATTGATGGAGATGGTTTGAGCTGAAACATTAAAGGCTGGGTTTACAAAAAAAGCAATGGTTTGCGCGTGGCATCAGAGTTGCCTTCCTGTAGCACTTTCTGCTTGGTAGAGAGACTTTGCTGTGGAGCCCAGATTATAAAAGGGTCGTGGATAGCCTAGCTAAGATGCAGTTGATGCTCTTGGCCACTTCTTTGGAAAGATTGTGTATGCTGTGGTTTGTTCTTCGGGATATTGTACTTTTGTTTTCCAATATCAGATGCTATTAGCATGATAAATAGTCTAGAGTATCGTCAGTCAGTTTATTCATGTTCCTTTCATTATTACTTTCTCGAGTAGTTGAGGTAATTTAGGCTTTGCCAACTGCTTCTCCTGTTTTGGAGAGGTGGATAGAGAAGAGGGCTTAGAAGAGCTACCATTAGAAAAGGCTACTGTTTATTGAGCCCTTACCATAAACCAGCTCCTTTTTTAAGCCCTTTACCTACATTATCTCATTTATTACTAACAGCAGCCCTGAGTTAGATGGTATTCACCGCATATTATAAATGAAGAGACTGAGGCTAGAGAAGTTAAGTAACTTTCCTAGGATTCCACAGTTTGTGAGTGAGAAAGTGCAGATTCCAACCCAAGTCTGCCTGTGCTATACTGAACTTAGCCCGTCCTAGACTGAGCACTTTGGTTCCATTTCTCCATTATTTGTGCTCTGGGGGTAGGTAATTTAAAACTGTATGGTCTTAATTATCTCATATGTGAAAATTGATACAGTACATTCGAAAAGTGACTGTGATTCAAAAGAGCATTTTGAGTCTCACATTTGTGAGGTAGGTTTTATCCATAGTCCCTATTTATGATCGAGGAAGCTGAGGTTCAGAGTATTTGAGACATGCTGAGGGTCTTGCAACTACTAAATGGTATCACTAAGATTTAAACTCATTTTTCCTGTTCCCAAAGGGTTTGTTTTCCCTCAGTTTAAAGACTTAAACCGCAGACTCATCTTACCAAAGTAAACTACACCTTTATACACAAAAGTCTCATCTCCAAAACATGAAGCAGCATTTCATTCCTGAGAGGTTCAAAGTGGGGGTTAACTAAAGGAATATTGGTTTTTCTGTACAGGTCCTTTAATTTACTGATAACTTGATTCTGCTGAACCCTGGGTCATGAGGAGCAATTAGCCCAGTTAGGGAGATGAGGAATGGGTTTAGCCAGCTCAGGCTAGGTATTAAACAGGCTGTGATGACTGGCTAAACTCAGTTCTTTCTCTCAACTTGCAAAACCACAGGCTCCTTGAGGATGTTAGTAGGATAAAGCCTGGGTACCAGCTAGGAGGTCCAGAAGCAGACCTACTTCTGGAGCCAGTGAGTTCCTCCCTGAGGGGATAGCTGGCCAACCTCCGAGAGGACTTGGAGGCATCATCTTGGCACAGAGAGCTGGCTTGGGATCTAAGGTAGAAAAGTACTTCAACATCCAGTGAGGGCCAGCCCGCCTGCCTGGCCAGTGCCTGTGAATTCTGGATGTGTCTATTCCCAGTGCTTGTTCATCTGCCAAAATGATGTGGTATCATGCAGATCGGTGAGTAGTTTTCAGCTCAAGTTCAAAACAAGCATCCCAGCCTAGAACTAACTAACTAACTTGAAGTATTATTGCTTCAAGTGCATAATTTCTCTTTTCTGGGCCCTGTTTTATTCTTGTTTAAAGAGGAGATTGAACTATTGGTGGTTTTTAAACCTTTATTTAGTTATGAAACCCTTTATTCAAACAAAATCTCACTTCGAAGCCTTGTGGTTGGGCCTTGCAGGGACTCAGAGAAACCCTTGGGCATCTCAGGCCACACTTTGAAAATCAAGGAGTTTTCTCTTACTGCCCACTAATCGGGTGACCCTACTTTATGTTCCTGCAGCCCCCTGTACTTCCTCTAGCCCTGCCCTACCCAACATTATTCTAATTGTCTGTCTTCCACTAGACTGCTAGCTACACGAGAGAGCAGAGTGTAAGTCTATCTTGCTCATTGTCATAGTCCCTTCACTCAGCATGGTGCCTGACATATAGAAGGCACCTAATAAGCATTTCATAATTATTATTTTTGAGTAGTAGTAGTAATAATAGCTACCATTTAGTGAATGTTTATGATATGTCAGCTCCTCTGCTTAGTAGTACATGCTTTTTTATTGAATGTTTACAACATCCACATGAGAATTGAACTGTTGGACTAAATCATGCCTAAAGCTCTTTCTGGCTCTGACATGCTGTGTACTGTGTTTCTGATTACTGTCAGGTCTTTGTTGGTGCCTTCCTGTCTGCCTAGAATACCTTTCCTTTCCCTTGGTGCCTTTCCAAATCCTCCCTGTACTTTAAGATTCTAGCCTAGGGCACTCTTGGCTTCTAGAACTATTCTGATCTACGCTGATATCTTTTTTCCCTGCCTTTTACGGTTTTCTCTGTGTTCATTTGTCAATTCATCAAACTTTTCTGAAGCACCTTTTGCGTGCCAGGCACTGTGCTATGCCTGATAATACCAAGGTGGATCAGGTATGATAATTGCCTTCAAGGAGTTCACAGCCTAGCATGGGTAGAGGAAGGCTGATAAATAAATACA